CACAGAAAATTAAAATGTTCTTGATGCAGTATACAAGAGATCAATTTCTTTGGAACAGAGTTTCTTCATTATAAACCAATATCAATTAGCAAAAATTGATGCTCTCAGCAGAATACAGTATAGCTAACAAATGTCACACGCAAATTAAGAAAAAAACAACCTTATTGGTTTGAAAATCCTCAACCTATCTGACTAAGTAATTAATGAGCATTTTTGACTGACCATGAAGTGAGTACAGTATATTAAGCATTTATTCACAAATGGTCACTTCAGCGGCAAGAGAAAAAAGTGGTGTAAACTAAAAATTGCATCAGAAAAAATCAAATACAGTACATAATGTATGTCTATATATAAACAGTACTGTACTACAAAATAATCGAAATTTTTTGTTGTGAACCCTGAAAATTCATAATTAAGCAGAGTTTGTTACAATATATTTACAGCAGTGTTTCTCCTGGGACCTTCAAAATTGTCTTGTGATGAATAATTTGCTGCAACGGTATTCGCAATAATGAAACAGGGCTGAACTGTGCTCTGAATAAATTGTTCAAACATCCCACCCTACCTGAACCCGGTAATGGTAAATGCTCTGTGCTCTAAGCCATTGAGATCAGCTGCTTTAATCTTGGATGTAACGGCGTTAGAGAGCCTTGCATCAAATCCGTTCAGAGGTGCGACGAAACCGGTTTTATGTAGAAGGTTCTCGTTCATTGTACAACCGCTTTCTAGTGTGAGCGAATTCTGTATCTTGGTACATACATGTAAATATGAGTGGTACTGGGAGTGATGGCTATCTGATACGCGTCCGGTGATTTCTGTAAGGTCTTCTGCGGCTTACTGACCGTTTTGCCCCCACCCGTTACACAAATCAAGTTTTCGTCACGATGGTGAGGGATGAACGATTGTATTCAGCGGATGGATTGAAAATCGCGACGGAGATCATGTTCAGTTTCTAGGTAAACGGGTGAGAAAGAACCAGCTTGCCTTAGCCGTCCAAGATACGAATGGTCGGGCTACCAAGTTTGTTCAACTTCAAAATAATGTCATGACGTAAGAGAGAAACGAACCTAATTCTTGGATGCTTAGGGACTTTAACCAGTCCGAAACCATCACGTTCGATATGAATACATCTTGATGATACTGTGGTACGTACCAAGTCAAGCTAAAGCCATGCATTCTCAAATATTTACTTCTGGCAATGTATGAGCTTCCGACGAAAAACCGATCGAAAATAGCTGTAAATTTCGTGCTTTAAGAAAGTGATTTTCAAGTTGATTGATGATAAATCTACGAAAGTTTCTAGGCTCCTCTCACGCCATCTTGTGAGATTCACTTCGGAGAAAATTCTTAAAAATGATGATTAACGAAGAGGCATACCTATGGCATAGGTAATTTGTTTTGCGATTTTTTCATGGTTCGAGAATGCTTCCATCTTTGAAATTTGCTATAAGATGAAGTGAAATGCTAAAATCACCTGTATAAGCGTTTTGGCTCACGAAAATTGTACAAACCTCCTGCGTGCTTGAAATTGTGCTAGTTCACAAGCCCGCAAACTGCTTAAAGTGTCGCATTCCTCTAGTCCGTGTGAATCGTCGACACTTTCCTCGTCGTGTGTGTTCCACCAAATGCCGTCGATTGTCTGACGTCGGCCAGTTTTATACGCGATTCCGACGCCGCTAAATTCATTCGCCATATTTGAACAGGCGTTGATCTAAATTAATACGTCATTTCGAAACGTTAATGGTTGCTATCACGAACACACGCTTCTTATCACTTGCGCACTGTCCGCGCAGATTTTAGTTCACCGCAAACTCGCTTCTGTACTTCACTTGAACTCTGATGGAGACTTATCGAATGTTGTCTTACAATGCGCATCACAAAGCGTTTCAAGGCTACCGGAACGATGACAAGTCGTTCATCATGTTGGACGACGCTCTTCTGTCCTATTTCAGAAATGCAGTGTCACTCATGATCCGCCGTGACTATTGTTCTCGCATCTTCGTCTTCGAAAGATGTCTGCGAACTACAGGTATTCTCTTTTTTTCGTAACATTAAATGCGCGTCTTTCGTGGAATGTCATCTACCACGAGTTCGCCAGGCTCCGAAACCATTTTTTCGTGCATTGGAGCAAAACGCAGTTCTTGTCCACGATTCTGAATGTGCATCAACCTTGGCTACTTCTCGGTTACACCATAGCGCACAATTTCTTATGACAGTTATGAAATATTGTAGAAGGTAGACGGTAGCGTGGCCTGAATACAGATGAAGTCTCAGATGCCAAGGAACAAAGCCTTCTTTACTATTTTATTCGATGTACAATGGGGAGATTGCGATCATATCATGAACCAAAAATAAAGTGAAAGGCATAGCGTCACACCCAGAAAATATTTTTCTAAATCTTCCACAGGTTTCTGAACGTTTGAAAGAATCAATTTAGAAATCCTTCCATGAAGATGGCACAGGAAATTATAGCGAACGAAGTGAAGACCTTGATGAGTATGATAAAACTGACATGCCTTCAAATTAGGTATTGACGAGCGTCTCGAATACAGAAGTGAACAAGTGAAAGTTCAATTGATTCAGTCGCACGAAAAAGTTGAGATAAAAAATGGGTTAGATGAAAGCGAGATCAGACTCACCTAAAACTCTGCACTTTGAGTTGCAGTGCGCTTCCTTTGGATCGTCGTCTGGCTCCAATCCCGGTCGGACCTACGTCCATCTTGGAAAGGATTTGAGCCAGAGTAAGCTTGTCCTCGTTCATGTTTCACGCTTTTTCAAATACTATTTGACCGAAGCTCACAAATGTTCGCATATCTGCTGCATGTTCGAGTCCGATTCCGAGTGAACTGACCGGCGTTCCAAGCTGCGCTTCCCTACCTAATGCACTGTCAGAGAAAAAATTCCACGAGCGTGGCTTCGCCTCCCACGCGACCGTGCGTATAGTACTCGTGAACACCAGTGGCTACCGATCAGATCGTGCCCGTGTGTTCAAAAGCTGTGATAAATGACTCTACAGTACCTTTCCAGTAAGAGGACGCGAAGGAGTGTAAAAGAAAAATGCCAGAATGACGTGTGCTGCGGTGTTGAAGCCTCCTTTCTACCAGTGCATCCGAACCAGAGGTTCTTTCCGGTCCACGACTGTTAAAAGTGTTTGGAATTGCTTTTTAGAATAATGACTGAATGGAAGCTTTGTTTGTGTGCATTTTCCTGTTGGAACGAAGTTCTAGGAGACTTATCGAATGTTGTCTTACAATGCGCATCACAAAGCGTTTCAAGGCTACCGGAACGATGACAAGTCGTTCATCATGTTGGACGACGCTCTTCTGTCCTATTTCAGAAATGCAGTGTCACTCGTACCAGTGCATCCGAACCAGAGGTTCTTTCCGGTCCACGACTGTTAAAAGTGTTTGGAATTGCTTTTTAGAATAATGACTGAATGGAAGCTTTGTTTGTGTGCATTTTCCTGTTGGAACGAAGTTCTTTTGAGGATGACGGGACAAAAGCACCCTGTGCAAAAAATACTCCACAAGATTCTGGATTTCGTCTCTCCTGTTACCGTTTTATGAAAGGCATAATTTCGGAAGCAGATTGAACCGAACAGAAGTTTCAGAAATGTTGTGCTTGGCTTCCGCTTTAGACAATTTTCTACATTTTTTATAAAAGTTCGGAAGAAAATTCATATTATTTACCTTGGAGCGGAAACGGACCTTTAGGAAGTAAAAATTCGTCTTTCTTTTTTTCTGATTCAGTGGGTCAGAAATCTCCTGACAGGTACCGAAAATGTAACAGTGGGTCATCAATGATTTTTCTCTGGGTGCTTTCTGTCTGAGTCCTTTTCTTTCGAGATGTAAATGCGTATTCTGACCCGGAAGGGCATGTGATGAGTTTTTTGTTTTTGTTTTTTGAGTGCATTGTTCGTTTTGGCTGATAATTGGGCGCCGTTTGAGCGGTGATCGCTGCTATTGTTGCGCAGGCGTTGCCTGTTCATTTCTTTTCTTCACTTCTTCTGCGGAGAAGATTTTTCTCTCTTCTGGATAGAGATTCTCTTGATCGTTGTGATCTCGATGAACTTTGTGTGTGCCTGTGTGTGCAATCGCGGAATCGTGCCCAGCACGGAAATCTCATCATGCGCTGCGCGGGATAATGTGCTGGATTGTGTAAATGTTCCGCCTGCGTCGGCGGGTTATTGTGCTTGGTTGTATTTTGCCTTTTTTATTTTACCCCTGAATTTCCAGTCATTATTGCAAATACGCCGCAGGAATTTCATTGCGCTGCGTTATGTTTAATGCAGTCGGATGAAATTTGTTTCGTTTGACGCATGCCGAAAGAAAATACAGTACCCCAAAGAAATGGTCCTAGAAAGAGATCTTAACAAGGAAAAGCTTCCAAGAAATACTGTGACAGCTTATGTCGAGATATTTTTTTCCCGGAGGAAAGGTTTGATCCCTTAAAGCGAGGAGGAATTTGGAAGTTTATTGATACAATTCTTTTCGAATCGAAAATGCTGTGGATGTGAGATCGATTTGCGATCCAAAACTCGTGGTTGGTTCCGTATTTCCTTAGTCTGTAAATCTTCCTCGTGTGTGAGCTTGTTTATTCAAGTACTGTATTGTACTTTCAGAACCGTGTAATACAGTACTTGAGAAACTTTCCGACAGAGAAACACATTTTATCCAGGAATAATTATTTGTCTCAGATCCTTCTCTGTCATTTTGTCTGAATACTTCTTACTACGAGTGGTAACCATTGCGAGAGAGGTTAATTCTGGTTTCAAGATTGTAATATTTAATTGTCCGGCTATATTTTTGAGATAGAGGCTGAACTTGTATCAAGTAAACAACGACGAAACGCCAAATTGACTTCGGAAAGAGAATCCCGAATATATGTATGCAATGTAACGTGTCCATTTTGAAAATAGAATCGGGGTTTGCGTGAAGTAAGAAAAGCAGACAGGAAACAGAACATCGTTTTTTTCATATTCGCTTTTTTCACTTCCGCCTTTTGTTGAACCCACAGATCTTCCAATATGGCTTCGGATAAAATTCGATTCTTGCATTATGTACTGAAAGTTGGAAATCGGCGGAAGGTTATAGAGAAGCTCCGCGATCAGTTAAAGATGACTGTATTGCGTCACGAAGAATTTGCGTCCGGGTGCGAGGCAACCTGCAATGGGTGAGTTATTTCTCTTGTCAGATATTTAATCAATGCATTTTTCTTCATTTGAATGCATTTTTACTTCGCTTTCAATCCATCTTTGCTGTAGTGAAGAAATTTCCGCGAAGATTGGGCTAATCGATTGAAGTTTTACTGTTCTATCATTCTAGTGTATAAGATGGCAATGACGTAATCATTTCAGGATGAAGGAAATTGCTGAAAAAATGCTGGTTTAGTGCGAAACTCTTCGTGGATAATTATTTCAGCTTCGGAGTCCTGATGAATGGCATTATCAGTCCTCATGTGTTTGTCTCGGTCAAGAAAAAAAGTTTCAAAAATCTATTATCAAGTGAAGAATTTTGCTGAACACGTTTCTAGGCATGAGATGTGCTGTGTAAGATTAACTCTGGTCTTGTTCATGATCATGGTTCACGAGAAAGCTGAGGAATCGAAAATTCGCTGTGCAGATTCAAATGTTTCATGTTTTCTGGATAATGTAACATACATTTTTCTCAGAACATTACAATTTGTCATGCAGCACTGTACAGCAAATGCTGAATTTTTTCAGGATCCATTAATTTATTTCAGCTAACAGCATTACATAACGTTCGATGCAGGAATAAATGAATGAAGTAAAATAATCAATGCCACGAAGACCTGGAGAGGCTGTAGTAAAAGATGAGAGAAGACCAAAATTACTAGGAAAAAGGAACGATAACAAAAGGAAAGCGAAATACCCTTGTATGCATTTACAAACGAGATTAAGGAAGATGCAGAAGTACAGTATTACTGTTTCTGATCTAGGAAGGCTTTAATGTAAGACCACTATTTTGGCGCTTGCTTTGAAGAACATTTTCTCCAGAGCCGTACAAAATAAAATAAAAACTCAAGCGACTGCGATATTTTCGCCATTTTCTCATTGTCCCAATTTTAGAGTGTGAAATTCCGCGCTTCGTTTTGAATCCATTATGGTTTTTCGCAGGCCATATGCTGGGCGTTGGAGCAAAACGATGATCGGATATGGGCCTGAAGATGATCATTTCGTTCTCGAACTGACTTATAACTACGGCATCGGAAGCTATGAGAAGGGCAACGATTTGTTGTCAATGGATGTAGGATATGACTCAGAAGACGCCCAGGGAAAAGAAACGATGCTGGAATGCTATAAGCTTCTCGTCCCCGAGCACATTCGTGGTACTTTGTTTCGTTACATTGCACGAGTCCATGATTTATAATCTATTCGAGTTTTTTTTTCATTTGCTTCAGAAGGAGATAAGCCAAGGTTTCGAGAAGTAACTGTTGGAAGTTCGGACATCAGACGCACGACCGACTTTTGGACCACTTTCGTCGGGCTGAAAAAGGTCCGGGGCGACGAAGACTCGGTTGTGTTGACGGGCAAAGAAGGCAGTGGCCCCACGATCGACTTAAAGTTTGTGCACGTTGGTGAAGTGAATCACGCGAAAGCGATTGGTCGAATTGCCTTCTCCGTACCCGGAGCCGAGTTGAAGGGAATCGAGAAAGCGTTGGTCGAAGCGGGACAGACGATCTTGACGCCGTATATTAGTTTGGACACGCCGGGGAAAGCCACTGTTCAAGTGGTGATTGCCGCCGATCCCGTGAGCTTCTTTTGTTTCGTCTGTCTTAATTGCCTGCTCCTTTTATTTGAGGGAACAAAAGAAGAGGGGAGGGTTATTATTATTATCTCATGCCCTTCTTTCTGGTGCTGCCCCGAATATTGCTTAGTTCGTCAATTTTACGATGCCCGAGTCGGATATTGCAGTATTGGGCGGAACAAATTCCTTTTGCTTTTCTACTTGTGTCCGTGTGTACAAAATAAATTTATTTTATTCCGATTACTTGGATTGGCTTTTTGAGTGAAAATCCATTGAACGGGAATTTTGTCTCCCGAAGATACTTTAATTTCAACATGCAAAAAGGAATTGTTCGAAAAATCCATATTGCAGTACTGTACTACGGTAAATGTGACTGCCAGCATCATATTCCGAATACAGTCTAACCTCTTTAGTCGATCTTCAGGGGACCAGCAAATAAATTCGAGTTACTGAGGTTTTGAGTTAGGGAAGTAAGATTTTTTTGTTGGGGAAACATATTTGTTTTGTTAGGGAAAATAAAGAACGAATTACTGCATAGAACATTTCAATCGGTGATATGCTGGACCTTAAATTGCATCTTAAATGAGTTGATAGGATGCTGAAGTTGGAGGCAATAATTCAGTCGCCCAATTGGTCTTTCATTTCCTTTCGAAATACACATTTTTATTCCTCTTTCTCTTTCCTGGCATCCTGAGTCAATAAAATAATGGCCAAAAGGCCTCAAGGAAATCCGAGCTATAAACGTTTGAAGGGGAAAGCCTTGGAGTTGAGGAGGTTTGAAATGAATTGTTCATATTTTTCTGATGGTATTCAGACAGGGATTTTAGAAAAAAATGACACAAGGGGGTACAGTATTCGACTTCGGAAGGTTCGAGTTATCAAGATTTAACTGTATCAAAATTATTTTTGCTGCTCAACTTGGGTTCGTATGCACAAAATAAATTTATGTTACTGTAATACGTTAATTTGGAATCGTTTATTGAGTGAAAACCAATCGAACGGGAATTTTCTCTTTTAAGAAACTTGTATTTCCGCATGAAAAAGGAGCTGTTTCTAAAAAAAATCGATATTACTTCTGGAAATATGGCTGCCCGCGTCATTTTCCGAGTAGATAAAAACTGCTGATTTTGTGCATAGTATTTTCGGTTTTGTCGGAGGGTTTTTCATGTAATTTTGGGTTCGGAATGTATTCATGCATTATTTTTAAAATCCACTCTCAATTGGGTAGATTTTTCATTTAAATATTGAGTAACAGAATTTTCAAAAATTATCGCTGAAGGATAAGTTCCTTAGCGTCTGATTTCGATCATCACTTCTTCCAAATTATGAGTGGGATAATCGGTATCATATGTACTGAACTAACCTTAATTTACAGGACGGTCATGAGATCTGTTTCGTCGGTGATGAAGGATACCGACAGCTGTCTGTCGTTGACCCAGATGCCGATGAAGCTTTGAACAAGGAAATCCAGAAGGACAAATCTACCACAGCTTGATGTTTCACGGAGGAAATCAAGCACCTCTCGGACGGAGTTAGTTAAACTCCGCAAATTATTTTCCCAGAAATTATCAACGATATTTGGAGATTTACTTTTGAAGGGAACGAGGGAATATTGGAGGCTTTATTTTTGAAGGGAACGAAATTTGTTAAGGCATTTTGTGGTGTCTGTAGTGTTTTTACGCTGCAACCCATCTTGATCCTTAACAGCCCATTGGTTTGTGCTTTCTGAGGTTTAGCGGTGTTTCACCGTGCGCTAACAGGAACGCAACCTATTGTGGTTTTGCTCTTTGAAATCTACCACAGCTTGATGTTTCACGGAGGAAATCAAGCACCTCTCGGACGGAGTTAGTTAAACTCCGCAAATTATTTTCCCAGAAATTATCAACGATATTTGGAGATTTACTTTTGAAGGGAACGACGGAATATTGGAGGCTTTATTTTTGAAGGGAACGACGGAATATTGGAAGCTTTTCTTTCTTTGGGGAACAAAGAATTCATGATTCTTCAGATATCGACTTTTCGTTTCATTTCTCCTTGCCTTTTTTTCCCCTGGAAATGATACATTTCAGTGCTTCTTCGCCCAAGAATGTTTCTTCGTCTTGCGCTGCGCGGCTCAAAAACTTCGTCAGTTTTCGTGCGACGCAATTCATTTGTGGCCTCGGTGAAACTCTCTGAGGTCCTACGGAAGGATGACATTCAATGCCGAGAATATAAAGAGCAAGGGAAATTTCTCATTCTAAATGACAGAGGTAATCCTGTCATCGAAGGACCAGCAGATGCAAAAGCGCTCGTCAGGAATAGTTCGCAAAAAGATTACGGAAAATTCTCGTTGGGATTTGCGACTTACGATGGTGAGCATAGTTTTTTTATGTCTGTTTTTAATTTGTTATAGTGAAAATGCATTGATTTCTGTCTCTATTATTTTTTTAAAGTTGCACAATACTTGGGATCCATGGAAGACTCGGTTTTCTTAGGGATCGATCCTGCAGACGAGAAAGCCTTGTTTGGAATTTCAGCCAAAACTGACGAAGACACTCTCGAAGTCGGCGACGGATTAGTGTTCCTCAACTGGCGAGCCGGGTTCTTTTTGCTGAAAGAAACCCACGTCCAGCTCATGTGTCGCGCTTCATCCATGCTCACGTGGCACAGAAATTTCAAATTCTGCTCCCGTTGCGGAGCACCTGCACAAAGAAACGTGTCCGGGAGTTTCATAACTTGCTCGAAATGCGGTGCCAAATATTTCCCAGCCACCAGCCCAGCCGGGATCGTGTTGATCCGGAATCGAAGCGACGATGCCGTGCTGTTGGTGCAGCATACGCAAAAAATGAGACCTACCCGGCAAGTGTATTACACTTGCGTTGCTGGGTTCTGTGACATGGGAGAAGGGATCGAAGACGCTGTGAGACGAGAAGTGGCGGAAGAAGTCGGGCTGGAGGTTGAACGTGTGAAATATTTGCGCTCCCAACATTGGCCCTTCCCTGCTTCTTCGCTCATGATCGGTTGCACTGCCATGTGTGATGATAAAATCGTAAGTTCCTGCTAAATCAATTTTCTTCTGACACACAACAGCCTTTCAATAGTTCAATGTTGTTCTCAAAGACGAGCCCCTGCTCGAAAGAACTTTTTCTGCGTGAATACGAGAAAAGAACTCAAAATGGGTTCTGTCTCAAAGGCGCCGGAAGAATAGGTTTCCAACGAAACGGTATCTGCAACAGAAGGTCCCTGAGGGGAAGGCGGGTCAAGGATCAATGAGTGAGGTAGTGATGATCAGTTTCATTGATGATACTGTATGTGTTTTCACAGATTATATTTACAACTCGCAAAAGCACCATTGTAAACTGATTCAGTGTTTTTTTTTTTTTTGTGAAGATTATCTGTGTAATTTTCAGAATTTTCGAAAACGACACTGTAGCAGGAACGCAAACTTCTTACCATTACAGTATTTTTAAGAAATGCAATACCTGTACAGTATTCCAAACAAATATTTATAAGAAATACAATATATACTATATATTTATGTGTGTGTGTGAGTGAGGCTTGTCCAGTCGGTGTGTAATTAAATCTGTGTGCCAATTGACCTTCACTGTTCATCCCACTTCCCCTGGGGACTTCTCGTCACGGTTCTCTTTTCAACCCCGTCCGTGGGACCCTTTTCGCTGATGGGGAGGACTTATCCTCCGGAAGCGGGTCCTGAAAAGTTTCTTCAGCGGGATTTGTTTTAATGATATCTCCCCGTGAATAATCTTACAGGAACCAGTAATCGATCTTGACGAACTGGTGGATGCCCGGTGGTACAGTCGAAAACAAGTTGGTGAATGCCTTAGGGTCGCTGATGAATCCCCGTGGAAAGCCGTCACTGGTGGCGGGGACTTCTCCATTCCTCCAAAAGGAACCGCAGCCTACGCTTTGATCAAATCCTGGTTTTCGGGTGATGAATCGCAATGAAATTTTGTACTAATTTTTCTGGTGCTGATGGATCAAAGACGGATTATTTTTTCCCATTTGCATGGTTTTCCAGCTTCATTTGGCACTTCATACACCTTCATTGTCCATTACGTGCATGCGACGCGTTCAGGTTTCAAATTCTTCCTCCTCTGGGGGTTTTTTTTCTTTCACGAGCACGTTCTAGATAAGCGTTGAAAGTTGGTAGAAATTTCGCAACAAATAAATACTTCAGTGAAAAAATACCAAGAAGCTAGCTTTTCGATTGCTTTGAATGACTCTCGTTTGGTTTCACAAAACTAAGGCACGACAGTTTTTATATGGTAGTTATCGGGTGCTATACTTTTTTCTGTTTTTCTTATTGAATCAGAAAAGTCGAGATTTTTAATTTCGAAATTCAAATCGTATCGAAATTTCAATTTGAAATTTACAGTCTTCTAGTGGAATTGCGTGATACTATCATTTATAAATTTTTTCGACGTCTGATATACATAATGCGTGAGGTAAATCTTGTACATTCACGTACGTAGCCAATGCTTTGCTGCTTTCTATTTTTTTTAACTTCCATTTTTAACTTTTCCAACATCTGCTGGTAAGTCAGTAATTTTCTCAGAAAGATGTTTACAGGGATTGACTTGGTTTTTGACGAAATTTCTCTGATGCCATGCAGTACTGTGTATGTCAAGTTATTTCACTCCAATAGTTGAAGTATGTTGGGATCCTAGAATAAACATCGAGAGAAATTATTTGCTGAATAAATTTTGACCAAATTTCAGTCGGATGTTGGAATGAATGAAGGATCCGCGTATAAATTCATCGGGTTAATTTCTTCTCTCTCAGCTTCAGCTTTTTTTTCCTGAGGCTCATGTATTTTATTCTCCCATACAAAAATTACGTCGCGTTCAGTTCGTGCAAAAATCGAAGCTCTCAGCGTAAAAATATTGGCCTTCGTGCAGTTGCGTCAATTGATTCTTTGGTGCCACGAAATGCCTCATGATTCATCCGTGAGTGAAAACGGTAGCATACAGGTTCAAGAGCCCGTCCCTAATTGTTGCAGAATGGTGACGATGCCCAGCAGAAAACCAAAGCCGATGACTGGGTTTCCCGCAGAATTGACCAATTTGCCGGAATTACAGAGCCAGTATTGACAAGCGCAAACGCGGAAATTCTTCGTCGTGCTTATCTTGGGGAAGATCATGTCTTCGACGCATCCGCTTTCGGTGAACTTCAAGCCGAAATTCGTCTCCAGAGTGAAATCGTCCGCGATCCCTCTTATTGCCACGTTTCCTGAAAATTCCAATTTTTAAATACGTTTTTCCCGTTAAAAAAGAAAAATTCACGAGAGCATCACCTCCTGAGTTTATCTCCTGGAAAACTATGCACCAGTGCTCTCCCGAATTTTGAACTTCAAGAAGCATGCCGTATGAGATTTCATTTTTTGATGAATCTGAGTCTTTGTATTCTTGGCATTGAGGAACGTACATGCGGTAAAATCCTCCAGTCAATGCATCCACGGCATTGCTTGTGTAATTTGCGCAGATCCAGCATTGCATTTGCTGGGGGAAGGGCGTTGACCCAACTGTGAAAATTGTTTTGCAGACGTAGGGATACATAAATTTTATCGTTAGGTAAAAATAGCGTACTTCAGGGTTGCGGTTTTTAATCATACGTCTTCCAGTGGAAAAATCCATCCATTCTGGAAAATTTGTTGTCCCTTCAATTATTACTGTATTACAATATGAAATGTATTTCTCCACACGTGCATCAATAATCAAAAAATATATAAGTGAATGAATGCAGTAGGTTTAAGTCATTTTGTGGTATCAGGAAAATTATCTGGATAAACAATTTCGCGTCTCCCATACGTAAGGGTGTTCTAGTCTAGTAAATCTCGTTCGATACCTTGATTGTCAATCGTCAATATTTCCAGGAACAAACGGCCACTCCCATTTTCCGTGCCCCTGTGTGTAGCATTCTTCCACCTCTAATTTTTTTTTATCCTGTGGAACATTTTCCTCTAAATTGTAGTAAACGAGCATTTTAGAACGCTATTTGTTGACGACTATAGAAAATTATGCGTTATTAAGATCGAAATTTTCCATCATTGAGCAAAAACAGCTTTCACAAATAATGCAGTCGGAAGAATTTTCATTTCACCCAAGAACACGCTTCACAGCAGCACTTGAAACGGTGATCGGATTAAGTCTGTATACAGTACAACCATCCTTCGCTAATATTGTACAGTATATAATACAAAATCTTCATGATTGAAATTCATTCCTTGGAATTTATCCTGCTGGATTTGAAAACGTGAATTCATTTGGACTGACCGAAAAACGTGAACCACCTGATCTAGCAAAGAATTGAATTGCGTGATTGCAAATAATCTATTGGATAGTGTACTTATTATTTTTCTCGGAAGAAATTTGCGAGGCAAACCGCGCTTGTTAACTTGTATATTGTACAACATTCTTACGAATAAGTATGATCCCTGCTGAGAATATTATGCAATTTTTGGTTCGTTGGGAACTTGTTGGGTCAGTCGTGACGTTCGCATTAATTACTGAAGGAGTCTGAATAGCAGTTTCAAACTTTGGAAAACGAGCTTAAATTTTTTTATAAAAGCAATTTCTCACTGCGCTCAAATTTAAAACGTCCTTTGTCGAAGTGTCTTGTCAAGAAAATGTTTAATTAATTCGTCAGAAATTCGATGAATCTTGAAAAAAAAATATATATCTTCGCGTGTTCATCAAGAAAATGAATGAATACGTATATTAATGCGATACAGTACTTACCGTCGACGGTTTGCCCATCAGAAGCACCAGCCTCGAAGGCGAAATAAATCAGGCCAATGATGACCGCAGGATCTTGAAACATACCCGGCCTCTTGAATTATATGTTTTTGAGTAAGCTGAAATATATGAGATCTTCACTTCTGGGAGATGATTGATTGGATATCATGCGCGGCGACGACGTGACTGAATGAGGCAACGAAACCCTTGCTTTTTCTAGTACAGACTGCAGACCAGCGAGGAACTGATGAAGGCACGGCCTCCTTGGTTGAGAAGGGATAAGGAATCGGAAGCTGGGATGTGTAAGGGCTTGGCCAGAGGAGTGCCACATGGGATTTATCCTTCCGGAAATTATTGTCTTTTTCGAATCTTTCGTGAATCGATTGAGGTGAGGAAATCATCCTTGCTTCGTGCGAAATTCAGGGAAGTGTGATATGAATGATACGCACGCCCTTAAAAAGCCCAGCATTACCCATAATGAAGAAATCTTTGAGGGCGTTGTGCATTGTAGCGTCCTCTGTGGACTTGATTTCTAACGTTCCAAACGCAGTTTCGATCAGTTTATCTATAGTCACGTTGCATTATTCCAATATTGAGGATAAGACAAGTTTTTGGATTTTGTAACAGATGCCCGGGTACCAGATATTGTACTTCACATTCTGAACACTGCACTGGTCAATTCGCTGAAACACATGAGTGGATGACGGAGATTCAGGTAAAAAGTGTAGGCAGAAGCTACAATTGTGACAAAATTGATGGGCGCAGGACCGCGCTGTCCATCTGAACCTCCCAAATTTACGCTGCGAACATAATGGTAATGTGCGCACGCTTTCGTCCAGCGGGAACAGAGAAACCCGAGAATCTTAAATTATTAAGATGAGCATTTCGCGATCAGCTGATCAATTGCCGTGTGAATGTGATAATGGCATTGTTAATCTTATTGATATGGCTGATCAGCTGAATTCCTTCCTCGAATCTGCGCATTACTTATGCAATTCTTGTGATCTAGAAGTGTTGTATTGAATTCCCAGACCTGGAGGTGCTCTTCAGGTCGGAAGTTCAGTTTAAATTTGCGAATGGGATATTTCAGCTGATTTTGATAGATTTCGAATCATTGTGGAGTGTCCATTTTTTCGACAGTCTTCGGTGATTTTGATTGGAGATGTTGACGAAATGGCATACATCATTACTCGTACGTATGTCGCGAACGAGGGTGTGTCACGTACGCCACAGCAGAGCGGGTTCTTCGCAGGAACCGAAGCATTCCGGTTCCGGGCCTGCCTCTGAAACCCCATTAATCGAGGCGTCCGATGGGCATGATCCATTTTACAATCCCTTCGCCAAATATGACCAGGCTTACCTTCAAACGAGTACTGGCAAAATTTTTGATAAGAAGCCCTTCCGACATTTCTGCACGGAAGGGAAGACGTATTTATGGTGTGCATGCGGGTACAGCAAAGATCAGGTGAGTCATTTATTGGATTATATTCTTCTTTTCGTTCACATATGTCCTATTTCGCCCCTCAAATTCTAGCCCTTCTGTGACAAAATCTGTAAAGTTGGACAGTTGAGAATATCCGAGCGGCCAGTTCAATTCGTGGCCCCTGCGACCAAGAAATACTGGTTTTGCAACTGTAAACAAACTGGGAACAAGCCCTTCTGTGATGGGACGCATCAGAGCGAATTTGTGCAATCTGCAGTGAAATGATTCGAGACGTCTTGTGCTAAATTAGAACGTGTTGCTGGATTCTTAGATACATGTTTCATGATGCTACGTATGTCTGATCTTTATTTATGATGTGAATGCGTTGTGTGGAATCATTTGTTAAACCTGATTCGGTTTTATTTTGTTTTTATATCTCTAGGATTGTGAAAGTGTTCTCGCTTTGAACGTGAGGCATTATGTGTCGTTTAATCAACGAAATCGGCTTTGTAACATGTGATCAATCACAGACAGAATCACAGTACAATATTTGCGAAGACGGAAATTCTGTCTTCGTGAATAATTTTATTCGAGAGGTGTTCGTTTGTTCCCCTCGGAGTTCCAAAGTTGGATGAAGGGTGAGTAATACTTATCAGTCGTGCCTATCTATGCTGGATAAAATCAGGGGCAGAATCAATGTACTATACTTGGAAAACTAATCGCTGTTCCGAGAATTGAACTGTATAGCCAACTGCAGTCGAAATTTCGTCATACGAAAGTCATGGCGACATTTGTGCGGAACTTTATTGTGAGAACAACCAGAATCTCTAATCTTCAAACTGTTAACACTCGAAGTACGAACGAAAACGCACCAATTCAAGTTCAGAAACCTGAAGCTGGATAAAAAAAAAATTCAAGACATCTCATAGCTGTCCTTAAATTTAAGTAACTTATTCGTTTTTTTTTTAAATTGCTTCATGGCAGCTGCTTAAAAATTCTTGTCCCATGAGATTTGTGAATATGTGATTTCAATTTCAACACCTCCCCTTGTATCGTCCAGTGCACGAAGCGTAACCCATGACGTGTGCGATATAATTCTGCTCGTGGAGACCTTGGAAAAGATGTGCCCTTGGTCCTGCAAAAAAAAATTATTCCGTTAACCGTTGAGAATTCGTTCGAGGTGTTCTCTGTGTGCTTGGTCGTAACTAGCTGTTAATAAATTTTGAATTCGGTGCAAAATAATTGAATCCTTGCCTTTTGCGTAAATGGCCACTTCTTCTCCCCCGTGTGTTTCGAAGAGCATCTTCACTGGCACGAATGGCTGGTACTGAGGTGAGACAATCTCTTCAGGAGTCCCTGGTTCAGGTCGTGAACCCGCGGAATAGGAATAAACCCGAGGTCCATTTGCGTATGCCATTTTCAAAAACGGCGTTTGCTGATCGTCGTCGTTCACCCCAGACGTTTCTAAATGAAATACAGATTTTTTTCAGGGGTTTTCCACGATTGTGATGTGGTTTAAATTGTTCGTGAAAACTTGGATTTCAACTTCTTCGTGTCCACTGTACATATGTTTTTGAGTCGGAATCCTCCGCGCTATTGTGTAAATACAGGTGGACTCTCTCTAAAACGAAATTCTGGAGACCAGAAAAAACTCGTTTAGGGAGAATTTCGTTGATGAGAACCCCTGTAGGATGGTCAAACAAAAATGTACGTACAGTACATTAAATTGTTTTACTCGTTTTAGAGAGTCTACGTGTAGTACAAGGCCAAAAGCAGGTCTTGGTTCATGTGCGGAGTACAGTATTTTTTGTAATTGAATTTTTGATTTGGGCAGAGCAGTTTTTTGACTCGCGAAGTTGCAATTTCCCCATGCAACTCATCTCTAAAAAATACTTCGTTGCCGAGAAGAATTTGCAAATATTTTACGTATACCGGCATGTTAGAAATTATTATTAGTATTGAGTTCTGTATATGTTGTTACGTATCTGCTAATTACGTTATGAAGTATGGGAACCCCTGAATATTCACGCAAATATAAGCACCCTGAGAAATTGAGAATAGAAGCACCTCCCGAAATTTTTCATGCTCAAAACGAAATTTTATCAATAAGTTAATATAAGTTCCAATTTACTTTCCTGGTGTTCCGAATTTCCAGGTACGAACAAATTTCTGACTAAATTCAAGTTTTCCCGTGGAAATAAAAAAATGATGTCACACAGCCTTTACTCTTCCGCTTCAGTCAATAAATCATATATCGCCGAGGGCTAAATGCTGACCATTTCTTGATTATTTTTGACTTCACTTCCAAAAAACTGAAGAAAAGAAGTGCTCAATCGTTCTTCGGACCGCGAAGAAGATTTCCTGGTTTAGACGCATATTTACGCGAATTGCATGAATATGTGGATATTAGCACACTATTAGTTTTTTAGATTCTCAAATTGGAGAAAAGGGATGCTTATGTTTACATGAATGCAGTATTTATTACGTTACGTAAATGCAGTATTTATTACGTTACGTAAATGCAGTATTTATTACGTTACGTAAATGCAGTATTTATTACCTTACGTAAATGCAGTATTTATTAGCCGTTAAGAAGAATTGCATTTTTATTTACCAGAAACCGGACTGCCGCGTGCTCCGTAGCCTCCGAAAGACATGGTATGAGAATGATCCGCGGTGACAATGATGAGGGTTTCTTCCGGATTTGTAAGACTCAATGCCACTTGAACTGCCTCATCCATTTCCAATACTTCAAGAAGAGCAGCATTCATGCGAGTTTCGTGATGAGCCGTGTCTATCCGTCCTCCCTCGACCTGATTTTTCAGTAAGACGGATTCTTTTTTTTTTTTTCAAGAAAATTCGGGAACTATTCAAGCATTCATTTTAATGTGGAAGTTGAATTTCCATTTTTCGTTACTGTATTTTCAATCCAATGATTTAGCGGAATCCTCTTCAAGTCGCACTTCAAGGGACCCGCGAATAAATTTGCTTTGTGGAGTCAGAGAAACCAGTATTTGTTTTGTTTTGTTGGGGGATAGAAGGAAGAATTTCAAGAAATTGTAATCGGTTATACAGTATTCTAGGCCTTGGATTGCTTCTTGAATGAGTTGACAGGATTCTTAACTTTTGCCCAATAAGTCTTTCACTTGCTTTCAAAATTCTCTTCCATGTGTCAATAAAATACTAGCCAAAATACCTTCAGAAACTTCGAGTTACGGAGGTTTTTAATGGATTTTTCTAAGGAAATTTGGACAGAGACTTGAAGAAAATCGATACGATGATTTATTCGACTTGGAAGGTTCGAGTTATCGAGGTTCAGCTGAACGATGTAAAAATGTTCGTCGAAAAAGCAGCAATTACTTCATCTGAAAAATTAAAACTTGGTAGAAATGTATTTATGGCCTCGGCTCTTGCGCCCTCGACATGAAAATCATCAGTGTACAGTACTGTATGAAAATTCGTTCAATTAAATGTAGACCGTTCTCAAAGAACTGCGTTCATCTGCGAACCTGAAGGCGCCATCGACTTCGAAGCGCATCCTGATTATTTTAACCTTTTTCGGCACTTTCCTGTTATCTCTGTACCTTCCCTCAGACCAATTTAACCTGACCTAACCTATTTCACCTAACCGCCTCCCAAAATCAGTTTCTGCTTTCTTTGGGTTTCTGCTGAAACTGATTTTGGGAGGCGGTTAGGTAAAGTTAGGTTAGGTCAGGTTATTTTAGTTAAAAGATTTTTGTAACTAACATAACCTGACCTAACCTAACTTTACCTAACTGCCTCCCAAAATCAGTTTCAGCAGAATGCGGAAAAAAGAAATTNCCTAACTTTACCTAACTGCCTCCCAAAATCAGTTTCAGCAGAATGCGGAAAAAAAAAATTCACAGTTTCTGGTAGGTGTGATTATGAACTTGTCCTAAAGATTTGTCTGGATGGTAGTGCGGTCTAGGAATGAGGTACAGAGATAACAGGAAAGTACCCCTTTTTCAAGTGTGTCTTTTGTTCAAATGAATGCAATAATATGGAAACCTGTGTTTCTCTATGGGAGAATCGTTCATTACCAGCAGTGCAAATCCTTTGCCGTCGGACTGAAGAATTTCGATCGCTTTTCGAGTCATCTCTGGCAGAGTTGGAAATATTTCCTTCTGCGTCGTGGAAGCGTCTTTTTCGTACACATACGGCATGTGGCTGTTGGCGAACAATCCTACGAAATCGCGGCAGAAGTCAGAACAAATACAAGTCTCGCTTGCGTAGGTGTCGGACAGGTGTCGCCTGAAGCACTGAACTGACGTTTATGTACAGTTTAACCCAATTTTTCAAGTTGTGTGAAATTATAAAAGGTTAAAAGCAACGACATTTAATGGCAAAGAAAGTCGCTGGTCAGATGACTCGAAATTATTCTCCATTTTTTTTCGCTCCTCTGCTGGAATTATTCAAACGTAAATTTTCTTTAAGAAATTGAAAAGGTGTTGGGTTGATTTTTTTAAGAATGAGAACAAATTATTTCGCGTGATGCTGCGTTACCTAGTACTTTTCCGACTTTTTCGGGATTCAAATTGAGAAGTTCGGTTCGATTTTGAGCGTAAACCGCGTTTTCTGAGGAATGCATTTCGAGCCAGGTTTGAATCAGACTTCCGCTGGCGGTTTTTCTTTTGCAAGTTGACTTTGGGTCGTCGCTGGTTGTCTGAGCCGTTCCATCTAGTCCATGCCTTCCTCCTCCAAAAATCACCTTGGGAAAAAATTTCTTGATTTTAATGATTCGGCAAATTGCTCGTTCAAGCTCCTTGAATGTGAGGAATTATGATGGAAATACTGTTTAACCTCCATAATTCGAACCTTCTGAAGTCGAATTTTTCCAATTCCCTTATGAAAATCCCTTACTTTCATCTCATTTCAATTTTTTCAACTCATCTCTTGTATCCACTTATAAAAATCCCTCATATCGTCTCATTTCAATTTTCAAGGAAGTGTTGCTCCCGAAAATTTTTGGAATTTACCCTAGCGGGAAAGTGAATGTCTATGCCAAAAAAGGCAGTGTTGAAAAGGATTTCTGGGACTTGAGGAAAGTTCAAGTATGATTTCGTTCAGTTGAGGAATAATTAATTTTTCTTACACCTTGAAGTTAGTGTTGAGATTTATTTGACAACAATATATAATGAAGGGATAATTCGTTTTTATTTGGAAATGTCTAAGAAACAATGATCTCGAAAATCTTTGGATTCAAATAAATCCGCTGTTGATAAGAAAATGTTCGTTATTAAACAAGTCTGGGGGATTGACTCGCGTGTGAAAGAGATTACTGTTGCCAAAAAGGTCCTTGACCTGTCTTACTTTCAAAACAACAACAAAATCCGTCATTCCAAAAGTCTTGGAATACCCATGTAAATGTTTGGCTTCTGCGAATTCCTCAACAAAAATAAAGTATTTTTCAAGCAGTTTCTGTCCAACAAAGTTGAGATGAGATGTGTACCATGCGTTGGAAATTTGCCAGCTCTTCGAATTCTCTCGCTGAATGCTTCCTGTGGTTTCGGGAATGAGAATCTTTCGAGGGAATTTCAGAATTTGGATCTTGAACGTTATGGAAATTTTGGGGCTGGTAAATTTGTTTCATCAATTGGAGTGAATTTGGAACGATTTATGGTTTTGAATACATTTATTCAAGTCCATCTTATGCGATAATAATGTCCTCTCTGTAAACTCAATTGTCGGTCACGCTTTAAATTCAGTCAATTTTTGATTCACATTTATTTCAGATTATGTCTAAAAATGTGCGCTGGCTCGGATTTGAAAAAATGAAATAACTGTTCTGATGTTTGAATATTTAAATAAATTTATTTGTGTTCATTCGATAACGTGTACCTCTTTTTTCTCTCAAGCAAGATGATTTTCGTGGGTGCGAGAAGATCATTGTTGATTAAATTATAGATCAAATCCAGTTCCTCTTCCGAGTTATCCACATTTTTTGTCTCAACATTTTTCATGCTTTTGCTGAAATTTCTTTTCGACATGACTGCCTCAAGTCAGTATGCCGCCATATTGCAGCGTAAATACGAATCATTTTCGCATTCCGGATATTTTTCGCATACCTTTAGTCCTTTTCCGGTTTTTCCGTTGACGAGTTGAGTCGCGATATCTTCGCAGTTTTCCGGAAGTACGGCTTCTGGTGGATCTTCCGGCCATGGTCGGAAGTCGTCGCATTCCCACTCTCGATGAGCAGAATGAGCATAAGTAGAAGCGGGAGTTGCGTGTGTTATCCGAGTCGTGGTCACTAATCCTGCAAATTTTCGACGCGCCAAAAGTCAGGTTATTGTGTTCTGGCACACTCGTCAAATGCGTCGTCCAAAACTTGTTCTAAATGTTTCAATAATTCCGCAGAAATTTTTGTTTAGCTCGTATTGGCTGAATAATTCGTTTTCCCAATCGCGAGAAAGACTTGCTTGTTTTACGAAAATTGGCATGAATTCTCTAAACGTCGGTGTAAGTATCGGATCAAAGTGAGATGTACTATCGTATTACATTAGAGTTATCATGATTTTTGGCAATTGTGCCATTCCTGAAAAGGCCTGGTGTTTACATACCAATTTTCCAATGCAAAATGTGTACAATTTTCACCAATGAGAAACCGATTCCATTTTCCTGCTTGAATTAAAGTTACAACTAAATGACCCCCAACTTTCATACTGTGTGATAATAATGGATCTGTTTAATGTTGTCGTAGAAAAATGACGTACCTGAAATCCTGCTGATTAGGATTCACTTGGAATATGTATTGAACTACATCCCGATTTTCGGATTAAACTTGAACCCCCTTAATTTTTTCTCTCCAAAATTTCTGCGTTCTCACTAATCTATTGCCGTTACTAAAAATTGAGCATCTCTAGTTAAATGTGAATACAAAAGGAGCTTTTCCACCTTGATAACTTCTTATCAAGTGTTGATGAAAAGCCGGATAATTGAAGTTTCCTCCATTTTACCTGCATTTCGGCCGTCGTCGATGAACCATTGAAGGAAAGAATCCAGTTGGTTAGAAGGAATTTTGCTCGCCTCGCAGTCGAATCTGGAAACTGTGGCAGTAACGCCGAGTGTTCCTTCGTTGGCTTTGACTCCTGTGACGTAAGCTGTTCCAGTTCCCGCAGAATCCGGTATTTGCATGTCCACGTTGTACGTCTTGAATGAATGAAAAAAATAATAGTGAAAGAAGGAAAAAGTGGAGAGATGGCAAGAAAATTAGAGCATGTTTTCGTGTGTAAACATATGACCAAACCAGCCCTAAAAATAAAAAAGAGTATTCCTCACGAGAGGCACCGTTATAATAAAATACCCTCAGTTGAGGTTAAAATCAAGAAAAATAGGAGGGGAATTGCAAATTATCTCTTGAAAAATAAAAAGCTTTATCCCGGGTTTATTTTTTGATGCAATTTAGATTCCGTGAAATAACTGTCGTAGAAGGATTCCATCTCAAGTAAGATTTTTTGGGTAGCATTGAAATTTTTGCATGGACATTAAAGCCATGCTTTTGTAGCCCAGTATATTATTTCACAGAAAACGAATTTTTTCAAATCTTCTCTTTCTAAAATCTACGGAAACCGTTATTCGATCTCGCTGATGTAGCCTCGAATTTCAATGTTCCAGATGAATACAGTCCTTAAAGTCGCTTTCAAAGTACCACAAGAACACAATAATGGCACGGGAGATTAATCGTAATTTTCAATGATTACGGAGCAATTTGGAAGTTTTATTTTTACACAATTCAAATTTCATTTTTGATGCAAACAAAAGTTAGGAGTTTGTCCTGAAAGAAACGCCAACAGTTTTGAAAATGAGGAGATGGAAACGAATTATCGGCGTTGTGTTTCTGCATAACTCGAATAAAAAATTATGAAAATTGATGCAATAATTTCGATTTTGATTCCACTAGTATCGCTTTATTGATGATCCAACACGGTTACATTCTACTAACAAAAAAGGACTCGTGTCAAATTTTTGTCTCTCAGTTCGTTTTGACATTGCGAAAAATTAGGATTATTGTATAATTCTGTCTGTCTTCTTAATTTTAAAATGTTGATTACCCCACTGCCTCCCATACAATTGCATTAAAATCACAGAACTACGTTGTTTCCTGGAAAGAGGGATCTTGTCGATTTTAAATGCATTTCTTCTTTCGAGTGAGATTCAATATGAGATCATGTAAAATATTTTTAAATCTTTGTGTTCTATACGGGGAAGTGAGGGGAGGGGGGTCGAAAACAAAATATTTCAACCTTGAGCCTTCGTGTAATTTAAAAAAGATCAGGTCTTGTTGATCTAAAAATTGAATTTAATTAAAAGTCCTTGATTCCCCCAGCTCAAGAGTTCTTAGATGACCAGACTCGATACAATTATTCCTCATTTAGTTTTCGCACGAGGGGATTCAAAACAGACTAACAATAGGAATTACGCAAAAATGCTTGCTTTGATGAACAGACTTTCGGAAATTTTGGAAAAGATAAAATAGATTTCGATGAAGCTGCGACAACTTTTTTTTTTTTTTTAAAAACACGGAGCAGTGTTGAAAAGTTGCGAAATTTCTGCAGCTAAAAGCATCGCGTGACCAGAAACTCGTCGACGTAAACATTGAAATCCGAAACTGTGGACCAAAAATAAATAAAGGTGGATTAGGGAGAAAAATCTGTCGGTCAGATTGTCACTGGCTTTTCATCAGTTTAGTGCGAAAACACCATTTCCAAGCGTCAATTTCTTGCAGAAACACGATGAATCCCAACACCCAGCCGGCAGCAATGATGATGAAAGCCGAAAGCAAATTATTGATCAACTCCAGAGCTTCGGGTTTTCGTTCCTTCTTCTCCTGAGCCTGATTGTAGCGCATTTGGTCGTAAGACACCTGACCCAGTTTCAGTTCCATTTCAACGCGCTTTAAATTCTGCGAAGGGATCCCGGCTTCCACCAGTCTGAGCATGACGGGGGTGAATTTTTTCAGTAGTGGGGACCCATACTGTACCCCCAAAGCTTTCCAATATTCTGCTGCTGGCTCTTTGCTGAAAAAAACATGAATAATTGAAAAAAATATATATATAATGCTATAGAATTGTACTCACCTGATGTAAAAGACTCCATTTGCAAAGTCATCATAAGTGGGCTTCAAAGCCAAACCCTTGTTGTTCAATGCTGACTTATCCAGCATGGATAGAATCTTTTCAGACTTGAGCCTCTCAAAATCTGGTGCTCTTTCCTCCCATGTCCGGTAGATGGCCTTGTCTCCTAGTGGCTTGTATTTGGCAAATGTCATCATGACTGTGGTTGTGTATGCAAACCACTTGTAGTCTGAACTCTGAATCAGATCAGTCAATGTCTCCATGGGTGCATCATAAGCAGGTGACACAAGAAACCCATAGTAGACTGCTGTGTAACACATGGACACAAATGCAGCCTGGATGACCCATGAGGCAATGAGGATATTTGCATGTTTCCTGACTGACATCCTCAGTTCTGGGGCTTGTGACAATAGGGAGCAGACCAAGAAGAACATGGTGTGAAAGATGCTGACTTGTACATTCATTAACCGCTCAAGCAAGTAGAAGGCAAGTGCAGTGAGCAGCATGGAGAGTACAATACATATCCACACTGGGTATGTGAATGGAGCAAAGATGGCTGTGAAAATGCTCAGGGTTCTTTTGGGTCTTCCTTGGATCCAGTGAAACCCACTGTATTCATAAGGAGGTGCAAAGTCCAGTTGTTCAGCCCTGTCTTCTGAGATTGCCAAGGATGTCATGACAAAGTCTACTTCTTTCCTTTGTACAGCTCCTTTTTAAATGTACAACAGAATTTTTTGGATCAGTAGTTGTACTGCAAAGTTTTTATTACAGCACTTTTTGAGGTATTGTTCTGGGGACTTGAAAAAAATTTCTGATTTTCTAAAGGAATTTAGTGACCTCTTTATTCACTTAGTACCATGTCTTTTCAAATAAAATGTGCCCCTCAATTCATAGCTCAAATTTGGAAATTTTTTGTAAAAATCCCTGACTAAGACGCGCACTCCACTTTTGTGTTAACAAAAGATGGTAATACTTCATTGCAAAAGTGAACTGCATAAAAATTTAATTTAGACCTAAATTGAACCTGAACTCAATGTATTGTACTGTATCTTAAATTCTTCTTGATTTAATGTATCTTGAATTATTTTTTTTGTACTGTATCTTGAATTATTTTTTTGTACTGTATCTTGAATTTTTCTTGAAGTACTGTATCTTGAATTTTTCTTGAAGTACTGTATCTTAAATTCTTCTTGATGTACTATATAATATCATCTGTTATTTTCGAGCTGATTTGATTCTTCTGAACGAATTTAGCTCTGTAAAATCTGTTGATGATTTAAAATTCCCTTGATTGACTCACATCCAAATTGCTTGCAATTTTTAGAAATTTTTGTCACGTGCACCCTCTTTTGTGCTTCTACAAGTAATTTAAAAATATGCAAATGCTTCTTGAGCAGAAATGGTAATTTAGAAAAATGTCCCCTTGCTGTTTAGGTCAGCATCCTGTTGACTTGTTTATCCAGCATTTTGGGACCCAAAAGATCAATATTTACTGGCCAGGAATTGTTTGAACGTCTTTTGCATAAAAAAAGCTAGTTTCCGTAACTTGTAAACTCAGATTCAAACTTTTGGGGCTCTTCTGAGTTTTACTCTGGGAGATCAAATATCATTTATATTGAGCACAACTGGCCACAATATAAGTTGGTGTCAAGTTGTTTATAAATAAAATAAAGATTCAGTCTGGAACTTCTTATGAATTGAAAGAAGAATAAATATATATTTCACACACGAGTAAATACTACTTTTTTGCAAGTGTGGGCTTTGAGTAAAAGCTAACACACACCTTCTTATTCTGCTTAACTTCTTCTTGGGAGTTCTCATATTAATAATTAATTTATAGACACCTTCACACAGTTCTAACAACCACGCGCATGCCCAACAATTTGAAAATAATGAAAGTTTTTTGATAGCTTACCCACTATTCCACTCCATGAGCCATTCTTGGAAATGGTCCCTGGCTGTAGCCCGATGTCTTCATACAAGACCACTGTGGAAAAGTTGAGAACCTTTTTCACAGTCTCCACGAGTCTGTAGTCTGATCCATCGTACAAGAATTTCCCATTCTTATCCTTCCCTTTGATGAACCAGTTTTTGTAAAACAAGATGTAAGTTGTTCGCAGTGTGGCCCCGTTCAAACTCCACACGAGGTCTCGTCGGAATGCCTCTGGGAAAGGATCTTTCAATTTGAAAGACAAATCTTTCCCACACGTTTTGCCTTGACAACAGTAGAGACAAATTCTGTGCACGTCGCAAGTTCGTTTTCCTGGGTTCTCGGCAAGAAACACCAAGTTTTCAGCATCCAGCGACGCTTGTAGATTTTTCAGGTCCTTGTCTATTGTTGCGTGGTCCGTGGGACCCAGGGGTTCCATGTAAAGAACCAGTCTCTGCACAGTCGCTATTCGTTTAACCAGTTTTCTTTGAGTTTTGGATTCAGCCACTGCCTTTTCTACTCCGAAGAGACTATTGTGCACTTGGGAAATGTTGGAGGCGATGATGGTCAAGTCTAGGGCTTGTGAAGTGTGAAGTGTCAGGTTCCGGAGACTATTTGTGAAGACTTGGACTTGGGAAAATTTGTCGGCGACTTGTTTCACGTCGATTTGAGCTGGGTTGCCCAACACAACGACGACGTGGTAAATGCTCGACTTGAGGTCCTCTTTGACGAATTTGGCGAAGCATGGTGACATTTGGGATTGTGACTTGGGTTCCACGATGAGTTCTAGGTGAGCTGGTTTTAAAACTGCGCAGATTATGAGCAGAATCTTCATGAACTTGTTCATGTTTGGTAGGTTTTGCACTTTTTTTTGTTGCTGTTGAATGAAAGCGCAATTCCGCGAGGACTACTTTTTTTTGGAGCCCAACTCAAATTTGGGGTGAGATTATGTATTCGAAACGTTGCTTCAATTTTTGGAAGCAATTTTCTGTAATCACACAGGCATGGAATAACTGTGAATGTTAGCAATCGGAGGCATTTGCTGCAATTTTGGACATGGAATGTTGGTATTTGTGCATGCAAATGACGAACATTGTTCTGTCTTTCGGCGGGACTTATGTTTTTTTTTCTCCGCCAAATGGTTCCGATTGCGGACGATTATTTCATGCGAATATTATTGAAATGGGAGAATTTTCGATATAATTGAGAATAAATTCTTAAAAGCGAGGTTTTACCCCGTATTATGAATAAACTATGCTTCACTCGTCTTTTTTCCTTATTTTTTTCCCTTTACTGTATTATAATTTTCCGCGAATAACGCAACGAATTTGTTTTTCGAACAGTGCTGAATGTGGAATTTTGCATAGATCATTTAGTAATCTTATTAGCTTTGAACATTGACCGTTTTTTAGCTTTGAGCAAAATTGAAAAAAAATATCACAGTATGAGTTATAAAAAATAAATCCAAGAAAATTTCATAACGACTGAACGGAATCATATTTTAATGCAGAGACAGAGACCTGCAAACAGCTTTACTGTTTGTTTTTCACGTTAATTTTCATCAATCTTGAACATTTTTGGCTTTTCCATACCTTTGAAGGGAATTTTCGAGTATGTATTCGTGCGTTTAACAATTGTTAACTTTTCCGAATGTTGATGTGGATTTTAAAGATGTTCATTGCTTGCAAAAAAATTGAGGATCTTGAATTTTCAATCAAACAATTGAACATGAATTTTCAAATTGAATAATTTTCTGCTCTCCTCTGTTGGATGATCATCCGACACATTCAATTCCACGGGAAATTCGTTTGCTTTAGTATAGTATCTTCGTGCAAATACAGTTATGTGCAAAAAAAATTGGAGCTGTTTCACTGCTACATTGTACTTTTGCGACAAAAATTCAACTGCGAATGCCGGAAACTCAAGTTTGTATGTTGCTCAACTTGTATGTCTTTTATGTAGCTGTATTGAAAAAGTTCGCCTGAATTATTCCCTCGGAATTTGAAGCAATTTTCTGTTATTTACCGTCTAAGCCTCGACAATCGGAGGCGTTTGCTGCAATTGGTCGCATTTGCAGACATCAAGTGGAATTGCTTATGCAAATTATAGATATTGTTTCGCATTTCAGTAGTGCCCCTGTTCCTTTTGCATTGATTAGTTTTGATTGCGGACGTTTTATGGTTATAGAAGTCTGAAATATGATGGTTACGAGACTTTCGCGTCGTTGTAGAGATGCCTCAGAAAGCGGCAAGCTGTTCGTAATTGCAGTTTAGTTGAAATTACTGTGTTGTATTATGAATTCAAAGTTGAACAAAAGTTAGAAACACAGAATCGCGTTTTGTTTGTGAAATTTCGTCTCACTTCTGGCGTTTTAATATTTTGAACTGGAGTGAAATATTCCTGAACCTAATAGTGTATACACTGTATATATTTTTTTGTAGAAATCCTCAAAAAGAAATCGACTGCAAACTGTTCGGAAAATTAATTCGATAATTTCATTCATTTACACTTTGTTTTGTGGAATATTCTCACCTGGTTCCAGCGAATTTTCTCAGCTTTCGAAAGAGTTTTAATTTCAACTCACTTTCTTTGTAAAACTTCTGATTTCAACTTCTGGACTTGAAAAAAGCGAAATTTAGGCGCGAATCGATCACTTCATTGCGGTAGTTTTTTATACTAATTATGACATGATTAATTATGCCCTTTGTAATTATTTAATGATACTTTTTTAATGCGATTGCATCGAATTGGGGAAGATTAGATGTAGGCCAATCGCGTAATTACAGTAACTTTGGTACATTTTTTGCGGTGGATTTTAGTACCATGCAAATTTGCGCATTGCAAACTGAAGCCAGGGAAGCAACAGCACTGAAAACCGGAATACAACATTTTGAAAAGTTGTGCCAATCTCCGTAGGTTCCATTATTCGCCATGGAAAATATACGGTAGCTCGGGAAATGTGAACAGCCTAACATTAAAAAAAATTTTCAAATCTGTTTCATTTTTGCGCTAGTTTTCCTTGGCGCTGAGCTGCAGTCATTTCAGTTTTTTTTTTTAAACAAATGCCATTTAAAAATGAATTCCCGGAGACTAACTTTTGAGAGTGCGACGTGAGGAAACCCCTCGAATTCGAGGGTGCCCTCTTCTCCCGGCGCCGTGGGCGACGCGAGTTGACCTTTTAGAATTCGGGCGGCTGTGAGTGTCGGGATGCCCATTCCGTCGCCGATGAACAAGATGACGTTTTTCGCCTTCCCATTGTTGATATTTGCAATCACGTTGAGGTTGTCGTTGAGCTCGTTTTCTGCCATTTGGTTCCAGTATTCCGCGGCTGGGTGAAATCAAGGTGTAATTTCGTAATTTCAATTGGTTTTGCGGGACATTCCTCGTGACTGGGGTTTTTTTGGAGGTACATAAATTATTGTTTAAAGTTTGGTTTCTCGGAAAGTTACAGAATATTGGTAAATTATTTTTATTCCAAGCTTTTCTTTCATGTTCTTTTCGATTTTGGACCAAATCATTGGATGTCATTTGATGTAAATTTTGATGTCGTATGAATGGTTTAAAACAGGTCACTCAAAAGTCGTAAGATATTCTACATTTGTAAGCGTAATTTTTTGTGATTCATGCGATTTTTCATGATCCCCTCAGAATTTTACACTTTTGACTAAAGTGCTGAACATTCCGTCTGACAGCATTGGAGGCCCTTGAAAATTCCTGGGGTACTCCGAAAATATTTTTATTGAAAGAATGTGGCCATCTGCTTGACTTTTTTTGTTTTTGTTTTTTTTTTTCCTCGGTAACACCGATTATTTTCTGTGTCTTTTGATTCCTGTCAATATTCTACGAAGAATTTACAAAAATTCCTAATGTATTTAGTAATACATTTTTAAAATGGATTAAAATTGTTTCTGTATTTATTTCTTTTTGAAAGGAAAGCAATGAGATCATGAAAACCATTCTATCAACATAAGAAGGAAAATTTCACTTCGAATTTCAGCTCTTTTTCTCATTTTCATATTTTATTGGTCATGTTTAATTTTTACTGCCTGTGTCAATTAGTTTTGTATTTTTAATGCCACTGTTTCTATATTCTGAAAACAACGTTCTTCATTTAAAAAAAAAAAATAGAAGGATTACCGTACAACTCACTTTTCTCTTCCTCGTTGATAACGGCTCCGGACGGTTTGATCCGTTTATATCCGTGAGGATTTTTAGTCTCCGAATCACTCGAAACATACGCCGTCAAGAACAGCAGTAGAAAGTAAAAATTCTTCGAAATCATTTCCGGACGAATTCAACTGTCACAATTTTTGTGTGTGTGAAATTCTCGTTTCATCAAGAAGGTTGGAGTTACTAGAAACTTTTGAGCGTCGTTTTCGTGGGTAGCTTTAGTTCGTATTGCTTTCTAATCTGGAGTTGAAATGGTGTCATGGAGTTCTGTGTGAAATTGTATCTCGAATTTATGTGTTACTTTTTCTTTGCACTTTGACGAGGGCTCTCTCGAAAGTCCTGCGAGTCACAAGCACATTGGCTTTTCAAATGGACGAAACTTTGAAAAAAAAAATTTCAAGGTCAACTTATTTTTCAGCAGACGAAAATAAAATAAAGTGGAGAATCGATTAAAGCTTTGGAGTCTATACTGTATTTCAAAGAAGGAAGAAACGAGTGCAAATGATGGTTTTTCAATCTTTGCTGGAGTAGCAAAACATGTTCTGAATCTGATTTAGATAAAAAAAAACATACGTAACGATTATACAGTAGCAATTCTGAGTTCTAACGTAATTTCGTAAAAAAATATACTGTTTTCATTTTAGACACTTACCTCAGCTGGAGCGATAAACAATTTCAAATGTTTGGAGGCCTGAGTTGCGTGTATTTTTCATTTATTGTGAGTAGTCTTCGATTTTGAGTGCAATTTTTCGAAAGAATTAGCGTAATTTCTCATCTGTCTTCTTATTTCTGTTGATTGCATTTAGAACCGCCGTATTTTGTCCGATTAATCGAATTTTGACTAGAAAATCAATTCAAAAAATGTACAGCCGCGTAGAAACAGGTTCAAGTTTTTCAGCTTGATCTTTGATCAGTTCTTTCAATTTTCTTAGGGATTTGACTGATGAACAACGCAAGAATTGAAAGAAAACTAATGATCATCCTGTCGCTGGAATTTGTTCACAAAATAAAAATTTTTCTCAAAATTCAATCCTGCAGAATGGCTTAAAAGTTTCTGTTACAATAAGTTCTAAATGCATATTTCAAATCTTTAAAATGAGTCCGACTACAACGAAGACTTGTACGTGATTTACGAAACTTTTGGGGAAACCCCTGTATCTTTCTTTCGCAATTGACGAAGGTGAAAGTTTGATTGCACTGCCATTGATAAATTTCGTTATTTTCTGTTTTGTATGTGTCGACGTCGAGAATTTCTCGAGTCCTCAACATCGCGTCATCATCGCGTCGACACGAAGATTTCAGTGAATTTTACGATGTTGATTTACGGCTACGTGTTGTTTTCGCGAGGTGCCATAAAACGATTTCAGGCGATAATGAGAGTTTTCTTTCGTTTCCTCTTTTATGTATGCCAACTGACGTCACGGTTTTTCAAGGCTCTGAGTTTTTATGGCTTTGAGTTTGTGACGGGATTCTTACGTAAGCTTGAATGAATTCTGCATGTATTTCTCTGTTTATTGAATTTCTGGCTTTCTCGACGATTTTGTTGTTCTACTTGCAGTTTACAATTTATGTGCTTTGGATGCCATGAATGTCGCAAAACTCATGTTCATCTGTTCGAAGTTTTCTTTCATTTACATATATTTGGGATGTACCTTTTTTTCAAATGTTTGAAAATTTTATTAAGCTTAATAAAGAGTAATTCCCTTCTGCTGTAAAGAGAGACAATAAAATAATTGCAGACTTCCAATTTGTTTTGTAGTTGCAATGGATAGCCTGTAACGAATGTTTTAAATTCGTTTGCTTTTTCAGTAGCTCTGAGAGCATTGCGGAATGAAGAAATGTGCAAAAATGTAAATTGCGTAATGAAGCAGCTGCTTTCTGACGATGTATGGTGAAATACGATTTAAACGTGGTGAATTCACGTTCAAGACCCTAACTTTTGCGAGAACTGGGAAAAACGAATTGCTGATGATAAATTTTAGGAATTGAATGTTTCAGAAATTGCATGTCTTGTAGTTTCAAAAATTCAAAGCCTGATTTATGAGCCGAAAAATTGCATAGCTGTCGTATCATCTCACGTTTTTGTATATTTTGTAGATTTATTCCTTGAAAACCCCGAAAACACAATTAAGTTTTGTTTGTATTCGTAAAAATTACTAGGAAACATTGCAGAAAAATTTAATACCGTGTTTCTGGGGTAAATTGACGAGAAAATTCAAAATTATTTCCTCTTTCAGCAATCTGATGTCTATAAGAATGGTGTCACGGGTCGAACAGATGTCGCCCGCTGACACGCCGCTTTTCTCGGGACGACTAGATGTCGCCCGAGTCAGAGGAACAAACAGGAGAAGAAAAATTCGACGTGGCGTACGAAAATGCCACGTCGTCACAAGATTTGAGAAAAAGAAATCCATCTTCTTCCAGAAGA